AAAAATGCTCAATTTCTTCCCCTCTGTCCTCTGACCTCTGACCTTATGACCGTCACTTTATGCTACTGTCACTTTACCGCACTCAGGGTCTATTGTGTGCACCTTCTATATTGTATACTGAAGACATTTATGTAGATTTCTATTTATGCATACCTTCTTGTTTTTATTCAGCTTTAACTTGTTCGCACAGAGAGCCAAAGCAATTTCCTAGTTTGTGACTTCCTGTTACTCACATAGTTGTATTATTTAGTTGCGCTGAGATTTATTCCTGTTTAGACAGACAGACAGGCAGATAGACAGAGATCTATACACAGACATATGTGTGGATAGACACACTTATACAGTAGATAGATAAAGAGAGATAGATAAACAAACAGATCCATAAATACTTCACTCTAAATAAGTTGCTACAGTAGTAATAAAGTACATATTTTTGCACGGTGGCTGAGTGGATAGCACTGTTTCTTCTCAACAAGAATGTCCTGGGTTCGAATCCCATTCGGAACAGGATCTTTCTGAGTAGAGGTTGCATTTTCTCTCCGTGTCTGCGTACCTTTAATGTAATGCCTAATATTGAAAGAGAGACATTTCAGGGAGACTCTCTCTTAGAGGCAAGAATGTGGGGTATCCTTCACAAGAAAGGTTGTACGCATCCATCAGCCTGGTGCGCTCTCTCTTATTACTCTTCGCACAATATAAGCAATACGTCTAGAGAGATTGTTCCAAAATAGATTATAGTATGCGTCATGTTGCATGGTGCGCGGTGGAAGCTAATTTAAAATTCTCTTTACGTGCTGCCTAATTGCGTTACATTGTCCCTTCGCAGAGTTGGTGTTATGTGAGTGTAATACAGTCCCTGACTTACTCCACTGTTGATTCCATCGGGTTTACAGCCAAACTCATTACCTTCTTAAGTGGCGTTTGGCATTGGGTGAGTAGGAGCAGTGCACCTGAAAAGAGACAAACAAGCAGCTGTTTGCAGACAGGGATCCTCATACTCATCTTTCCAATAAATGGTCAAGGAGGATATTGATGGGCTGTCGATAGAGTAAAGGACAGTAATTAGAGCCAGGTTTAGTTCTTCAGAGCTGACAGTGCAGGTTGATAAGAATAGATTTCAGATTGATTACTGGGGGCAGCACAACACACTATGTTCTCCAGTCACTGATGCTAATGATAACAGCAGCACAGTACTTTTTCAATTGCCTTTTGCCCATTTACACTGATGTTTGTGTAACCGGTGGCGAGTCAAGAGGGAAATATGCCCTCCATTCCCATATCGTATCCCCAGACGGACACAAATGGAAACACATGTGCTCATGCGTCTCTCATATCCAAACCGTCCCGATCTTTACTGGCAGCAACAACACATTTCCAACAGTGTCTTTCTGTTTATTTTGTTTCTGTTGCTTTATGTTGGAACACAAGTTTGGGATACATTGTATATCAGAGCTAAATTTAGTAATATATTATATAGAAAATCTAACAAGCGCAAAAAGGTTTAATCTTCTCATATTATTTCCTTTTCACATTATTTTGACAAATTGGGTCACGGTCTATCTGACTAACTTGTAAAACTATAAGCTAAGAGCCAGCCAACAGAAGGTCAAGTGTCAACAATGGAACAACATAACAAGCCATAGTGCAAATATCCAGCAAGGCATCTCAAAAACGATGTTTCATTAAGACTTTCTGATACTGGATTAGGCAGCAGAATCTGTTATGTTTGGTCTATGGCTGTGCTTGAAATGGATGTTAAATTTGAAAGTATAAATCCATAAAAATGGTGATAGTGATGATGATACCTTTATACTTTCAGAGGAAGCCAATTTCTGAGCTACATCAATGGTTTTAATTTGATCTGTTTGTTGTCTTCACGCTAATCATGCTCATAGTCTTCTCTCTAATCAAATCGTGTTTGTATAATCTTCATTTCAATTATGATTTGAATTACAATCTTTTTTCCCATACCTGGGCAGCCTCAGTCTTTCTAATCAGAATACACCTTTAATTAATTTAGTTGGAACTATTTGTTTGTAGTTGTGACGCTCCTGGGGCGCAGTGTAAGTGAACCTCAGAAGACATTTGCATTCACCACTTAAGCCGCAGGTCTGCTGTGATAGTGAGAGGACATATCTGGAGGGCCCTGGTAACTGAAAGAATGCAGATGGCTGAACAGCGCTCATTGTCAGAAGCACATCTCTACATATATTATCATATTTCATGCACATCCTGCTGCGTGCCTCGGCCTCAGCCTCAGTCCCAGGTGCCAGTCCACATGGCGTTAGGCCTCAGCTAATTGACCAGCATCTGGAAACAGCCTCCGAGTGCTGCTTAGCAACACACTGTTCTCTGCACACAACACAAACTGAGACAGAGACTCAGCATGGCCCCGTTTGGCCCCAGTGTTACAGCAGTGGGGGTGAGAAGTCTTTTCACAATACAGAACATCGATGATTATTTAACAACGCTCTGTAACGGTTATTCTTCCGTTGTGTGGTACACGTGTGTGCCAAGCATGTGATTGCCCAGGTTAAATAAAGTCATGCATAATGTTAGTGCAGGCGGACTATTGTGTGTGCTCACATGACTCTCTGTAAACACACAGAGAGCACACTGGCTAAAATAAACCTGTGTTTGTACAAACTGTTCATCCAGCAGCACATTAGCCTGCACGCATCCCTGGAATTTTCCCCTCGGGAGCTTGTTACAGAGAATTACACGATTGGAGTTTCAGTCTTTAAACAGCTACATCAATATTCGACTTTCTATCTGAGATTTCCTTAAGCTTTTGTATTTTGTTTTGGCTAATCTACTAAGAGACCCCAAAGACTTAAACAATCTCACGTTATCCTGCTTCTAGTCCTGGCTTAGCAGAACTGAAAACACATGTGGCCAGCTTAGATTAGGTTATTCTCAAATAAACAAAGCTTTAAAAGTTGTGTTACAACCAAATTTAACTGCCTAAGCACTTTATTCCCATTGGCTGTCTGCTTATAATCGAACACCGCTGCCATCCCACTAGCTCTTCCTGCACCTCTTACACAATAGTATCACCTCCTCTCACACAACTGTCAGCGTAGCGTAGTGTGGGCCCCTCAGTGGCTCCGAAGCCGGCCCACTCGCACGCAGATCGTCCGCCCGCTCTGTGTGTGAGCTGAGTGCATGGAAAAGTATGTGGGAGTGCATTATCAGGGAAGCAGAGGACTGTGATGGAGCTAACGGCAGCTATAGTGAGGGTGGTCTGCCACACTCCCACACCACTGATGATCAAGGGGGGCCCAAGTGACTAATGTGTAAGTGTAGCAGGCAATGATGCGATCTAAACAAAAGGTAGCAATATAACGACAATAACATAACTACACATGAGTCACGCTTCTGCAGTCTCAAAAATAGCTTGGCTGTAGTGCATGGGTGGTGTAGTAACAGAACATGAAATATAGGCCAAATGACGGAATACTACTAATAATGATGTCTGCTTTATAAGTCATTAGGACAACATTAGTTAACTCTCGGAAAGTACGGCTGAATAATTCAATGGAAGAAGAAAGTTAAAACGATTCATCAGAAGTTGTATGCCATGCTGTGGAAGATTTTATCCAAAGAAGCAGCTATGATAGGGCAAGTCAGGTTTATAGACATGCAAGCTTACTGATCCAGATGAAAGAAAATCAAAACAAAACAATTTATTTTGTTTCTCTTTGTTGAGTAAAAGGTTACACACTGGGGCTTGAACTGCGAGTCAGCAATGTGAAAACGGAAGTTAAATTCTTGGAGACAGTAGATAGATAGATGGATGGATGGATGGATGGATGGATGGATTGATACTTTATTGATCCTTGTAGGAGATAATTCAGGTGAATATGTTGGAATAGTAGTTTTCCAACAAAATAAATAGCTAAAATCACTATCAAATAAAAGCAGGGCAGGGCCTGGTTAGTAATGTAATGGGAGATCTCTGGGTACATAGGGTGCCGTTGTGTTCGGGCAAGACACTTCACCCACATAGTGTATGAGTCTGGTGTGTGCGTGAATGGTTGGTGGTGGTCGTAGGGGCCAATGGCACAACCCCAGGGCAGCTGTAGTTATCGTTTACGACCACCGTGTACAGACTGAATAAATAATGCCATGTGAGGCGTCTTTGAGTGTCCAATAAAACACAATGTAAAACCAATTTCATTATTATTATTGCAGAATGGGGCAAAAGTGGCTCAGTTGGTAGACCTTTGGGCCTGGAAGCTGTGGGTTCGAGCCCACCACGAGACCTACTTCACAACTCCCTCTGATGACTGCTGTCGTTGTGTCCTTGGGCAAGACACTTAACCCTACTTTGCCTGTAGCCCCCACTGGAAGATCAAGGCTCCTGTGGACTCACCACCTGCAGGAGGATCAGTGTCAGCAATGTGCACTGGGTGCAGCTCTGACTGCCACCCCCCGACCTAGAAATAGACTAAGGCGGAGAAAATGAATGGATGGATATTGCAGAATTTATGTTATTTGATGTTTCCAACTTCCTTGGATGAACCATAAATCAGCATTTAGATATTTTACCCAGGCCCATGGTTTTTTTGGCCACGTTTTTATGTAATTTAGCTTTTTTGCTGAATAAATTTACATTATGCAATCATCAAAATACAATTTATACGGAACTCATCTTTTTTCATAAGGAACTTGCGAGAATCTATAACTCTTTAACCGCTTCCTGGAACAAACTCTCCAGTTCTGTCTGCCTACTTTGCTCCCGCCTTCTTAAACATTCAGATCCTCCAACATATTAAATTAATTTGTGTAAAATTTATAAGAGCAGTGGACGAATCTGTAGCTATTTCAGTCTCCATGTGTCACCATGAATGTTACATGTGCAGCATTAGAATTTGGGAACATGGACATTCTAACTCTGACCTGGAGAGTTATTAAAGGACATGTTTTTGTTTGATGCTGGTGCGTTCTTCAGGCGATGGGAAACCACAAGATCACTGCTGCTGGCTGAGCTCAGTGTGATGAGACCCTGGCAGCCGGTGCTCTGCTCTGGGCCAGCGTGTGCCACTTATGCTGAGTACGCAATTTGATATGGATCCAAATTACAGCGCATCACTGCAGATTTGTCCTGGTTCCTTGAAGATAGATTCATCAGGACTCGATTGTGTTTAACTGAACTGCTTTGGTGAGGAGGGTGTGTTTTTCGAGAGGCCGAGAAGGTCAAGGTTATTATTGGTCAACAAATAAATACAATTATATACAAATACAATGTAAAGCCCTTTGTGTGACTCTATATAAATGCATATTACTTGCTTACTGAATAAGAAGAAAACTACCATAGTGGTACAATGACATCAGACTACTACAGGAAGAGAAGAGGGTTGTAGTTACATATTTGTGAAATCCTGATATTGGCAAGGATGGATCTAAAAAACAACTCCAGGTCTGAGGAAACAAAATTGTAATATGCATAATTTTCAATTTTGCATAATATGTCACATTTAAACTTGCTGCCTTTGATTGTCCCAAAACGTGATAAAACTGGTGCAGGATTATTAACATACCCATGTGGTAACCATTAATGTGCAAAGGGAAAAGGAAGATCTACGGTAGTTACATTGTTTTAAGATACTTTTGCAATTTGAAAATCAGTTGCTCAATCTTGTTTGGAGAGGTTCAGATTTGGGAAACATTAAATAGATATGTTTGATTAAAGACATGTTTTTATGTTAGGGTTGAAATGTAAGGAAAAGTGTCATACATCTATCTTCCATGTAATTCAGCCCTATTTTAAACCCCAGTCTGAGCAGCAGTTTGGACAGTGCATAAATGAAGCAAAGTCAAACTTGTCATCTCGTGTCTTTTCATCTCCCTGACCTGGGGGACCACAGCCGGACACTTTTACACATCAAAGCCTCTGTCCCGGCGCCATTTTCTGTCTCAGTGGAGGCCGACCTGTCCGCCACCGCTTCAGAGAGACGCCACCTGGACCGAGACCCCAGCACCAGCAACCCCAGCAACCCTCCTCTCCAGCCCTCTCCTCACTCATGTGCCTTCTGGAGCCTGCACCCGGAGTCTGGATGAAGTGTGTGGAGCTGAGGAGCACTGGAGTGGAACCTCTTCACCAACAAACTGAGAAGACATTATTATCTGTGCACTAGAGGGCTGATACTTGTGACGCACAGGCCACGAGCCGCTGGAGTTTCTATGAATGAAATCAAGACTTTGGTCCAGATCCGTCAATCATGCCAGACCCTTTTTAGTGCCTCTGTTATAATTGTTTAAGTAAGATGTTCATGTCGAGTCATCATTAAATTGCCCTAATCTAGGTATTATTAAAATCATGCTCTTTTCGATTGCTTATTTTTAGCAGCAGTTTTCACAAAACAAAAAACAACAAAGTCTATTCAGATATTATGGTCCCAGCTGGATTTGTCTGCATATCTGGCAACCTGAGTCAGGGAGAGTGGGAGAGGTTGCAGTACCACTTTGGGCCACATTTTTACATACCGCTTCTTTAACGTATGACCATTGATGTTAATATTGGCTATGTCGAAAATGAGATAAGATACGGATTGGTCTGGGATCGTGTCCAGCTGAAGACATGTTGTTGATGTTACAAAGACGACACAAACAGTTTTACAGTTTGCATGTGTTTTTTAAGCATGGAAAAAACTGCCACAGCGCTAGTAGCTTCGGCCTTCAGAGAAACCAAAACATCAAGTGCAAATTCACTGGCTTGTGCATACTGGCCTAATGATGACTTCCGCTTGAACCACAGTTGCTTAAAAAGTGTTAGAAGAGATCCAAAGTTACCATGGCATGTTTTCCATCATTTTAAAGCTATGTTTCCTCACAAAACAACCATATCATTTAATGTATTCTAAACACTGAACTTAAAATAGTCATTTGTTGTGGTCCGGTGTGACTCTGCAAGTAAGCTGGAGCGAAAGAGACTAAAATAGGTATGTGCTGTACTTGCAAACAGTTCAAGTGCATACATTCACACGTGCGGCTGTATCAGAGCAGACCGACACACGCGCCACATGCACTGCTTCAGTGGATTATTGTGTGATGAGCATTTATTGACACCAAGATAACACGTCACACCACGATCACAGAGTGCAGTCACAGAGCGTGTTATGCTCCCAGAGACTCTCCTCTCTGTGGGGAAGGCAGCGCGGTTACGCCCGAATTTTGATTTTATTCTCACTCTACTGTGCCCCCTGCAGGGCTCAGTATAATTACCTCCATAATGTAAAAATGTGAAAAATAATGGAAAAGCTTTAAATAAATGTTCCATTAAAAAAAAACATGACACCTTGATATAAAGGTCTAGTCAAATAAACCTTTGTGACAAACCTGTTTTAGTCCATAAGAAATATTAAAGGAGACATAAAGGAGCTTTCAGGGGTCTTTGCTATTCAGAAATACCACCGATTAATATATGTACAATTATATGAAAACGTTTTTGAAAGAGAAAAAGTCTGTTCATTGTCTTCTTTTTCAAAACTGCAGAAGTGAAAAGCACTTTCATCTTCATAAAAATATATGAATATGAACATGTTGTAAAAACCATAGAATGTATACAAAACACAGACCTTCAATATAAAACAAAGGGAAATCTAATAATCAAAGATGAAATCCATTGCTCCAAAAGTAGTAGTAGTAGTTTATCTTGAACCTGCATCACATTTTTCCTGCCGTTCACTTGAGACTGATGCAAAACAATAAATCCCATAAAGCGTTTTCCATTCGATATATTTATGCAGTGACCTTTACGTGGCCTCGTGATGTGTCCTGAAGCGAGATGCTGAACTGCGGCTGATCTTCCAGGAGCCAAGACTGAACATATTCCACAAGTTGGTTCGCAAAAGTAAAGGTCTTGTGCCAAAGTAATATTTTATAAAATGTTTCCAACCGCCTTTCAGCGGCTGTTTTGCATAAATTAATGTATTAATGCACGTTGATCCCATTCCCAACACACTTCCGCGAACATGATTGAAAAGATAAACCCTAAATCTCTAATAAACAGGTGGATCTCTGAAATTAACATTATCCATTTCCATATCCAAAATCCATGTACTTCTGTGATTCAACTCACAGTGAAACTAACATAGACTGATATACACCCATTAGACCAGGCATGTCAAACCCTGGCCCGTGGGTTAAATCCGGCCCGCAAGACCATTTTAGTGGCCCCTAAAATGATTTAAATGAATTTCAATGATTATTATTAACTTGCAGCATTGATGGTTATGGGCGACCAAAGCATGTTATAAATAATATTTTTTCTCAAGAAATCAACCAATTTTAATGTATTCAAACATTTTAATCCAACATTATAAGTTCAATAATTCAATATAAAACAATGGGTTTAACTTTATATTGGGTCCAGTTTAGATTAAAGCTTAAATGTTACCAAAATTATAGTGAAACTCATGTCACATAAAAGTCATGTAAAATTACCTTTATAAAAAATCATTGTGACAAAAGGACATTGCTTCTATTCTTTTTATTCAGCCCCTGACCAAAATGAGTTTGACACCCCTGCATTAGACACACAGTGGGATCTTTATTTTCTATAGTGTTGATACAGTATCTGTCCCACAGCTTGTAAAAACCCAAAATAAAACATGGACTGTGAGCCATACTCATCAACATTATAACAAACAAAGGCATATGTCACTTTGTCTGAGTCTATATCATATATTATTCATATATTACTCTCACATTTTAAGTTGAATCACACAAACGCGTTTTTGAATCATTCTAATTTTCTGAGTTTCAACTGCTTGTGTTTTACATTTAAAATACTTTACGATTTGGCTATTTGTATTCACTATATGTTCCACTTGCTATAAACGGACGCTTGTGGAACTAGGGGAATGTGTCTTGCCAAAGGGCATGTCAGCCGCAGAGAGCTCCAGGGGGCTGACATTTACCAAGCGAGAGGTGGTTTGATCACGTTTTTTTTAAAGAATTTTTCACTGGTGCTTCTCTGGGGTGTCACAAGTCTTGTTTTGTTCTGATATCGAAATGTGTATTCCTGATTGATTTTTGTTAGAGAAAGAAAAAGGGAGAAAAAATTGCATTTCCCTTGTTGCACCCATTTTAATTCAACTTGGTGTGAAAATAATCAGAATCAGAATCCTTAATGTGTGGGATTATCATAGCCATCCACTTAAAGGTGATGTTAGAAACTTAAATTGTATTTCATTTGTAAATGATGTATAGTTCTGACCATGGAATCAAGTTTTTTGATTCATCATTTATTTAAATAATCCTTCCAGTTGGCAACCAACGACCACCAGTAACATTTTCTGGAGGAGAACAGTTAAAGTTTAAACCAATGAGGAGTGGCCTCAAGCTTTTATATGAATTTCAACTAATCAGGAAACTGCGGGGCTGAGCGCGGACGGGTCTAACCAGTGATTGCTGTCAAAAAGTTTCACTCTTTCTTCACATTTATCAAGTATCTGACTTTCACTGTAGAGTTGGAATACCTAAAAATACCCCTCAAAACAGTTTGGCTTTTGGTAATTCTTTATTTTTAGGCGAGAGGTGTATGGTCAGAGAGTGCTAGGGCCTGTGTCTTGTCGTGTCAGTGGGTTGTGTTGAATGAGAGGCTTTGGAGGCAGATAAACGTTTGCTTTGCCCAATCTCTTTTTCAAACATTTTATTTCTCTTTATTTTGTGTCTTGCTTTCTTGATTTTATTTGGTGTTTTGTTTTTTGATTTGGCATACATCAAAAAATTGTTAAATAGTGACTAACAAGGCTCTTTCTTTCTTGTCTGATGCTAAACACAACATATTTGGTTGATAAAGCTAATGCAGCTTCTTGGGATTTCCTTTTTACAAAGCACCTACAAGATTAGAAAGGTCTGTGACTTTGAAGTTTTGTAAATAAACAAAATTTTATTGAATATGTTATATTAGAATATATAATATGTTATAAGGAAGACAGTTTTTTGTGGTCTGGTTTGTTCTGTTGGAAAAAAAAAAGTACTATTAAAAGAACAGCTTTAAACATGATTTTACCGTTTATATTCTGTTTGTGCATCAATCAAACAGAAGGTCTATGTTGTCTCACTGCTGTGCAAAGTACTGATGCATTAACTAATGGATATTTTTACAAGCAAGTTCCCAAAATGCCACGTTTTGCACCTGCTCTGCTTCTTTCGCAGACACTGTGGCAACTGTGTGGGATTGTCAAATGTGTGCGTGGGCGGCACATATTATATCTTTTGGCTAAAGTTCTGCCCGTTTCCAGCAGAAAGTAGAATAGTGTACATTTATAGACAGTCTCTGGCATTTGCTGCATTTCAGACAGTTATCATGACAAGTAGAAATAAATCCAGTGTTTAATTAGGGCAACTTCTCTCTCTATCATGGGGATATTATTTATGTGCAATATTTTTCATCTGCTCAAAGTCGTTTCACTGGCCTTATATTGACGGATTCAAAACTCATCAGTGTAAAGTCATGAAAACATAGGCTGTTCTTTGCGTGTGTTCGAAGACAGCAACACTGTGTTAAACTTATTAATATTATTTTTGAGTTATCTCTTGCTGATCCAGGAGGGTCTAGGACTGTGGATGATCCAGGACATATATTGACATTCACGGTCATCTCGAAATGGACCAACGGCTCCGTCCTTTATTTTTACATTTCTAGTTTGTTCTTATGGTTGATTCACCAACAATAGATCAGAGACTGAAAACAAGAGCCCCCTCAAAAAAAAAAAAAGATTCATCTCAAGTGGTAATCTACATTAAATGCAAAAATCCATCCATCCATCCATTTTCTACCCTTTAATCCATTTCTGGGTCAGGGGGGTGGCAGTCAGAGATGCCACCCAAGTCTCATAGCACCAATACAAAAATGAAAACAAAAAAACAAAGTGGGTCTACAGACGCCAAATGAGTGTAATTCAGTTCAGGAACTTTTTCATAAAACAAATAATAATAAAGGAGAAATTCTTATCCTTGACGCTATTTTTAACCAGGTGCACAAGTCTCTGGAGGCCAACTGTGTCTGATTCCTCACCAGAAATCTTGCACAGTGCTTTTATGCAAGTTTA